GCTCCATTAAGGATGTCTGGGAAGTGGCAAAATACGTATGTAGTTGGGGACTAAAACGAAATGATTCTTGGGAAGGAGAAAGCGAAAAAAGATGGTTTGGGCAGGATTGAGGTAAACAATAAATGACCAAGATGGTGGCAGTGGTGGAGCCGGACGAAATAAGAGAGTCGGGGTGATTTCATTAAACAGCTAAAATGGCGTGTTCATGTGGAATATTCTATTTGGGTCGTGCTCCATTGAACATTACCGGACACCCAACATTTCTTTTTGCATGCTCTAGTTCATGGCCATGTTATGAAAGTCTCATCGCGTTAGCGTAAAAGCATACGATTTTAACAAAAGGTTAAAATGAACAGTGTAGTTTTTGAAGTCGAAATCATCTGATGATGATATTATTTACTCAGTGGAGTTTAGTTATGGCTCAAGGCTTCAAGTATGGAGTAGCTAGTGAGGATTTGTTGTTGTTGTTAATACTAATTCCGTTTTGTTTTCATCTATTTAACAGGCACAAAAAATGTCGGATATCAGATATTCAAAGTAAGGTGGCGCTGAGTTAGATATTAAAATTCTTGTTTCTTTATTTCCCTATTAGTGTGAGAGTTAACAATAACTCCTACACTATACGGTTACCCCAAATGTATCAGCACAACATATCTATTAGACTCTTCATATCCATTATCACCAGCACCCCAAATCTCAAAGTGACAAATGCATCAGTAAAACGTTTAAACCTTTTCCTAGGTACCACCAATCCATCACATTAAAGCTTTTAGTGGTCTAATCAAAAGAATTAAAATACACCTATGTGAAAAACAAAATTAACAAAATCTATTAGACCCTTCATATCCATTATCACCAGCGACAAAGAAACAAATGCATCAGTAAAGCTTTTAAACCATTTCCTAGGTACCTTTTCCTAGGTACCTTTTCCTAGGTACCTTTTCCTAGGTACTACCAATCTATCGCATTAAACGTTATAACGGTCTAATCCAATTAATTAAAACACGCCGATATGAAAAATAAAATTAGGACAAGTCTAGATGTCAAATAATTATCCACTAATATAATCGTCAAAAATGCCTCGACATCCTTGGAAACCACATTCCCAAATCTAAAGAAAACTTGCTTTACCGGTGAACAAAATCATATATATATATGCCAACTAATTGCAAGCCACTGTTTCTTTTCGTTCAACAACAGTTTTTGCAAAAAAAATTTGTTTAACCGATAGGATCTCCCCATAAGCAGTGGTTTTGTATGTTTATTTTAAGCATCTTTAGAATCTGTCTCATTTAAATATACCTTAGCTAAACATCTCCCCTATCTCAGATATACAGATGACGTTTTATTAATATATCCTTAAAACGTACCAAATATTATAAAAAAAAAACAATTTAATAATGTTGAACCCACTAGAAATAAGCAACACACAAACATTTCTCGCCATTCTAACTTTTTTTAATGATTCACCTATTACAAGGCCCAAGAGCCCCTCAAGGTTGAGATTACTGAGTACTTTAACGAAAACCAACTAATAAAAATGACCTAATCAATTATTATTCCCATCACAACCAAAATATAAAATCAGATTTAATCATAGTTTTCAACCTTCGAACCCCCAGAATATGTACCCCAGAACACCTAGATGAAGGAGAAAAATATAATGCAAAACTTCGCTACCCTCATCATTTCATTCTCAACCGAAGAAAAAGAGTATATAAAATCCATAAGATTAAAAATGAAGTACTATCAAAACAAGAAATACTAAATTTATGATATTTAAATATATATTTTATATATAAATTTATCCACCTTTATAAAAAACACTAAAATTATCCACCTTTATAAAAAACACTAAAATTTATCCACCTTTATAAAAAACACTAAAAAGAAACTGAAGAGACACGATACATAGAAGAAGAATATATTTAAAACAGCATAGAATTAAAAATGCCGAAACATTCTCTATGTTTCTTTCATACTCCCAAATTTCTGATGAAGTTACAATAAAAGTAGAGAAACATATCAAATTTATAAAGGTTTTCCTCTTTGTTCCTTATTTAATCATATATATATATATATATATATATATAACAGGCAACGAATTATGTTTGATCATAAGCCGTTCTAAGTTTCGAATAGTGGCTTCAGTTTCGGGAGAAAATAAAGGCAAAAACTGTCCAACATTTGGATGTTTTTTAATATGCTGTTCCTCGGTCTAAGCTTTCGGCTCACATGAGCCAACATCAGATGTGGTTATACAACAGAGATGTTTACCATCAAAGATGACAACCTGTTATGTTTAGATAGAAGTTTGCTATGCGACGATAACGGTCGCAGAATAGTAGACGCAGGTCGTAAATTCATGATGCGGTTCTATGACATCGTACCACGTAAGAGACCGAAACAGAACCATATGTCTAGATGCAATGTAATATATTGTGACTAGTTTGAAATGTAATTTTGTTGAGTGTGGGTTGCTTTGTTTTAATGAAGATGGTCTCCAATATTTTAAGGTTCTTTTTATCGTGTGTCTGTGCCAGTTTTGTTGTGTTATCAACTAATATCTGTCTAATATTGTGTACATGGATATGTTTTTTGTAAGAAATGTTGTTTAATAAAGCTAAGGTCAGGAAGGTGACAAGTAAGTCAACGGGTGAGAGTGGTTGTAGTAAAACCAATATATGTAGTGGGTTTATCATTAGTATCATCGATACAATCTCTGAAACTAAAGCCACTACACGAAAGTTAGAACGGCTTATGATCAAACATAATAGACATTCGTTGTCTGTTATATTTAACAATATGTTTGAATAATGATTTGTTGCCCAATACACTATATATATATATATATATATATATGTGTGTGTGTGTGTGTGTGTGTGTGTGTGTGTGTGTGTGTGTATTACTTCAAACGTTATGATAGCGAACACTTCGTATTTGAAATAGACGTCCCGTTTTTATTTACTGAACAGTGTGTATTACGTTTATCGACCAGCGCATTCGAGAAATCTTAGTAAATGCGCAGAAGCAATGGAACATCTATTTCAAATAAGAAGTGTCCACTATGATAATGTTTGAAGTAATAAAATGTCTGATTAAAAATAAATCCATTAATTCGTTATATATCCTTCAAAGCTATATGTTGTGTTATAGCTCGACTATTTATCTATGCTGGTTAGTGGTGCATTATGGGTAGTACGGTATATTGTTTATTGAGTACGCGGTAACGATTATGTTTTAAATTATTTCAGTAGAAATAATAGTGAATTCGAATGTGGTTATTTGTTAACTTTTTACTCATTATTTATTATTGATTACTATTATTACATTTACTTGTGGATATATGTTCATTTGTAGTTTGTTAATTTGTTTATTATTTGTTTATTATTTTGTTTTATTTATTTTTCGTGGTTGGTTATCTTATTTGTTTAGTTGAACTTATTTACGTAAGCTCTATCTCTGATATTGAGCACTTTTACCTATAAACACAGCCTGCCTTAAAACTATATTTTAATCCTATATATGAGGTACTGTGGAGTAATGGATAGCGGCTCGGATTGAGGAATCGGAGAGCCAAATTCGAATTCACGTAAGTGCTCTTGGAAAAAAGTATGAATCTTCTCCCCTCCCAGCTATGGGTAAATATCAGGACAGACTGGGTTCTATAGCCTTGAATGGCAACTGGTCTAGGAGAAGGACAACTCTGAATTAAAAAACTACTTATTCAAATCCGGTCGTTTGGGGAACTTGTGGCTCTTCAAAATATATGGTTGCTTTTGTACAAAGCCTTCACCACTATAATCAAGGCATATGTGCAGGCGTCTGGCTGTCGGTTTATACGAACTGCTTGACCCTCATATGTAGGAAAAAAAAACGACGGGAGAGTCCACTATTTCTTGAATATTATTCGCTTACTTTTGTCTTCCCAGACTTTGTATTCTCTGAACTGCTGAATATGCATGAACGTTTTCAAAGCCTTAATATACCAATGAAATCCTTGCTCTTGTAAACACGTGCAACAAAATAAACCCTACATTTGCCATGATAAAGTCCCTCAGAGGTCGAAACTGGACGACTAAAAATAATTTTTCCTCTTGTCTTTTATTCATTCATATATATATATATATATATATATATATATATATATATATATATATATATATATATATATATATATATATGCCACCTCCTATCTATGACTATTCGAGTGAATTCCATCCTCACTGTGTGCCGCACATTTGTGGTTATATGCTGTATTAATTTAAGCTTAGTCAATACCCATGAAGCTGCTTACGTATGTCTAACTCGATACGAAAAGCTCCACAAAAATTTAATTCAAATGTGTCTAATAAATAGTCGTAATTTCCATAATACATAATTCTATAAAATATATTTCTATAATACGTATTTCTATAATATATATTTCTATCATACATATTTCTATAATATATATTTCTATAATATATATTTCTATAATACGTATTTCTATAATATATATTTCTATCATACATATTTCTATAATATATATTTCTATAATATATATTTCTATAATATATACTTTTGCTCTGTAGAATATTGAATAATTTCTTTATGCAACTAATTTTATTGTCGCATGCAAAAAGAATTTGGCTATTTAAATCCTTAAAATAAAAGTATCCAAAGAAAATTAAGGAAATAAAAAGTAATTTATGATCAACCTGATCTTATTACCAATCAATTAGATTCTCCGTTGTTATTGTAAAACAAAACCTGATTACGTATTGGTAATACCTCTCGTTGGCTCAACAATGGAATATCTAATTATTAAGTAGACGAGATCAGGCTGCGTTACCGATACATATATAGATTTACATTTTGTTTTATATTATATAATAGATAAAAACGAAATAATTTACACTGGGTAAAATTAGATAATGTTGGTGTCTTTTGAATAATTCCTGAATTCTGAAAGCACGTTAAAAATTTATGTTCTATTTTGATGTGTTTCAGAAGAAAGT